AAAAAAAAAAAAAAAAAACACAGCAATTCTTATTTTTAAGAGCCAATATAATTAGCTACCAGTCTTTTTAATTACCATATCAATGCTACCTTCCTGAACCAATATTTTTTTATTTAATCTAATATGATAATTTGAATATAACACAACCATGAGTCTGTTACCAAAATATTAATGGTTAAAATTTTTTACTAAACAATTATAGCTAATTAAAAGTTCAAAACTCAATAATCATTTTATTATAAAACATAACATATCCTACAATTAATTTCTTTCTTATTCACATATATATTTTATGTCTGGGCATAGAATAGAGGGGATATATTTCTAATTGATATCGAAAGCATTATTTTAATTTTAAAAAGTAGTGTATATTTCTTTATAAGGAAATTTTTTTAAATCCTGAAGAAGCCTCTTTATGGCCTTGGCCAAACACAGCCAAAATAAAAACAAAAACTGCATCTAAGTTGCATCTGCCCCTTCCTCTCTTACCAATAATGGAAAAATAACTAGCTTTGTAGAAAAGCTGCAACTGACCTAGAGGTCAAAGACAAACAGCAGAAAGGCCATATTTTATTGTGACATTAACACAAATGAAGGAGAAAGCAAACATCGCTCTCCTACTTTCACAGCACAGGAGCTTAAAAGCGACAGCTGGCTTTGCCTTCCTGAAGCGATCCGTCAGGAACACATTGCCTGACCCGACGAGGAGAGAACGCTGTTTCACACACAGTGTTGAAGGTCCTGGAGAGAGGGGCCCGTCGCTTCTGTGATGGGACTTGTGGCTGACGGAGCTCTGTGACATCCAGGGCACACCCTCCCACACGCCCCTCAGCTCAGAGCAGCGTCCCGGCGCTGCACTAGTTGGTGTAATGGCCCGTGATTCTGCCATATCTACATGCCACCTACACTACTCATTTTCTTATTTTTTTGGTACTTTATTTTTAAATTAAATACTTTTATTTTTAAAAAGGAAACTTGGTATTATATCATAAATGGGAAAGTGGTATCACCTGCCATGAACGTGATGAGTACAGAATACTAATAAATACTATCTGAATACTCTTGCCTGTCAATGCTCTGAGCCTGAGGCCTCACACTTCCTTTTTAAAAGGGGAAGAGCAAATGTTAAAGAATATTTAAAAACCTGAAATAATCGAAGTCTTCTTGATGTATCCCAAAATGTTGGAAGGTAGTTGAAAAGGGGTTGAATCTCTTTCTCAGAATGGGAGTGGACGTCCGAGTTTCCCCTCCAACGGTCTGGAGCCTTGCCTTCATTAAGAGGACCAAACTCAGGAAAAGCAGGGTGAGAGCCCAGTATAAGAAGGCCAAGACTGATGATGGTTCAGACCCTTAACTTTCTAGGCACTTCATACAGAAAAATATGAATTTCATATCAAGCTCTGAGATGACTCAGCTTAGCCTACCAGGCCTCCCGAGGTTGGAGGTCAGTCCTTACCACGAGGCATAACAGGATTCCTCCTCCAAAGACTGTGCTCCCATCTGTCCCTGTCATCGCTTTCTCCTGACCTGCTGTTTTCTCACCGTGTTCGCTCAGGGTCAGGCGGCTGTCTGTGTACACTAGCTATCCCATAGGAGTCAGAGCCACATAATCAATAAGACTTGGCAAACGTGAAGTTTGGAATTTGCTGCTGTTTCCAAGTTTGCTTATGTCCAATGCTGGCCTGAAGTCAGAGTTGTGTGTATTTTCTCATCAGTTTTATCAATCATTGAGTGTTTAAGACCCCCCTCCCATTTTTTTTTAACCTCCAAAGTCTACCACTGATCAACCTGCAATTCCATTTCCAGAAACAAATGATCAAATTTAACAAAATTACCGACGCCCAAATCACATCAGTGCTTTGGTCAATTAACACCATGAGGCTGACTGTGGTCTGCTTCATTCTCCAAGGCTCACCTCGAAGGAGTATCCTCTTCCTTTGTTTTCCCACAAGAACTCTACTTATTTATCTGCCGAGATTCTTAATCTCATCTTCTTTATTAGTAATCGTTAACCTATTTTTCATTTCTGTATTGAATTCCTCCCCCCATTGGTGCCTATCACAGCGTTTTGTACTTAAAAACTAAATAAATAGTTCCCGAATCTGTTTATTGGATGAATAAATAGGAAGTGATTATATTCAAAGAAGTCTCTATGAAGGTCTTCACAAATAATATGTTGATTTTTGTAAAGAGAATATCTATTGTTTCTTGCATAACAATATTTGAATCTCTAATGAAAATGACCTTTGAAAATATGGTATTTAGGAGATTAACTTTGTATTTTAAAATCCAATGTGTAGAATTTTTACAAACATGCCAGTGTTTTGTATTCAAAGGTATTCCTCCCTCTCCCAAGAAGAATGGAGAAAGTCATAGTTTTTTTTTTATTGAGGTAACTTTGGTTTATAACATCATATAAATTTCTGGTGTACATCCTTGTATGTCACCTTCTGTATTTTATTTTATTTTATTTTATTTTATTTTATTTTATTTTATTTTATTTTATTTTATGAGGAA